CTGACAACTAGTCGTCAGGGGAGGAGTGAAGTCTCAGTATTGTTTTTTTGAGATTGAGCCTTTACTTGTAAAAAGGGGAGGGGGGGTCTGTTTTTTAGAAGAGAACATATTTTTCTCACTTTTGCGTTTTCCTTTTTCCGTTTCTTGAAGACGTATGTAGATTGTTAATGTCGCCTGCGATCGTGCTATGAGAAACAGATCATATGATTAACTCTGCTTTTCATTCACTCACTTTTGAGAAACAAGAAGAAATAAAGGTATCGACCTTTGCTTTTCATGATTCGAATCGAGAAATTTTCGTATCTGTTGAGTATGTCGGGTTAATTCGTCCTAATTTTGTTGACACTCTTTTTGTTGGTACCTTTGGCATCTTCCCGTACATGATTAAGAGTATAAACAATTGTGCATAGGTAAAGCTCAGTTTGTAGAGTTGTAGGTGTGGGAAAGATCATTTGCCAGAAAAAATTAACATAAAGTGTGACATAACACAGTGTTACTTGATTTTAAAAATATTGTGATCCCTTATACTCTCAAGGATTATTGGTTTAAATATGCCAAGAATTAGAAGAACTAAAGTTTGACAGTTATTCTTCTAATTTTTTTCTTTCCATTATGGGCCGATTTGTATAAACTATTTCTAGTTTTATCTTATCGAATAAATTTTGTTCAGTTAAATTACATTGGATATATTTTATTATAAAACGAACTGAAAATCTATTCTTACTAATCTTATCTCCAATTCAATGTTATGTTATAACACAGTTAAATTAACAATGGTTACTATTCATCTATTCCTACTTTTCGATTTAATGGTATAACACAATTGAAAAATACAATGATAAGCACATTCATATCTGGTACTGGGGCTTTCTCAACCCTCTTCACTATAACAAATCCCTAGCGACAAAATCACTTCTCCGGCGGCCTCTTCTTTAGCCAGGGGGTCCGATCCGCCTTGGGGCTTTTCAGCAACAGGTCTTGTCTCGGTCCGTTCCGGTGCAGGTCTTCTTCCTTTCAAACCCGGATGTCTGCCGAGGGATTGCTTCGACGATTTGGTGGCGTGGTGGAGTTGTTAGCGTCTTCTACCGCAGCCGGTGGGCGGGGCTTGGGCCTTCGCTCCTCTCTCTTCAGTTCCTCGTCTGGTGTCCCTGGGGTTAGGCCCCGTCTGTTTGGAGCCTCAGGGGCTACGGCAGAGTGGGTTTGGGGGAGAGGGAGGTGTGGGCCTCTGTGTGTTCCTCCGGTGATGACCCATTTGGGCGTGGGATCGGACTCAATATTGGTGGATCTCGTTAGCCATCGTTTGCTTTTTGGGTGTGGTCTTGCTCTCTTGGGCTCGTTATCGGGTATATGTCCCGAGTTAGTGTTTAGGATCCTCTTGCAGCTGTTGAAGGGCATTGTTGTAGCTTTTATTTGTGTTTTTGGCTGTGGTAGTTTGTGTGTGATTGTGTTTGTGTTTGTCTGTTTGTGTTTTTGTTTTACCCCTTTTAGGAGCATGTATTCTCCACTTGTGGGAGCTTTGTTTTCTCCATGTGGGAGTTTTTTTTATTTCCTGTTTATTGTCTGTAGTGTGTGTTGTAGTTTTTAGGCACCGTGGTAGTCCTCCCATTCCGACTAGTTATCTGGTTGTAATTATGTGTTTTAGTTAATGAATCTGCCGTTTTGAAAAAAAATTGTTAACTAGANAAAAAGGGACATCTGGTACTGGGTCCATTCAGTGTATTTATTTAATTGGGTCATACCTACACTTGTTCAGTAAAAATCATGATTATCAAATGACATCGAGTGGGATTTTTTGAAGATCTTCAAATATATTTCACTTGATTAAATAGGGGTGGGATTTTTTAACCAGGAACCAAAAAACCGAGTCGAACCGAACCAATATTAGCCGGTTCGGTTCGATTATTTGCTAAAAAACTGTCATTTTTTTGGTTCGGTTCGGTTATACAGGCTGTAATTCGATTTTCGATTTTCGGTTATAAAACAATGTTCCTATAATTAACCGAAGAACCATAAAATTGCATATATTTAATTATTTATATATTAAGTGGGCACCTGGCCCAATCCTTATATTAAGTGGCCCAATTCTTATTCCAATATTCCTTATATTAGGTGGCCATTGCCCAACCCATTAACTATTTAACTTTTTACAATTTCTAATTTCTGACTTTCTGTCTCATTAACTCAATTTCTCAATCAATTCTCACAATCTCACTCTCTCTCCCTTCAAATTCCGACAGAAAGTGAGGAAACTGAAAGCCCTAATTGAATTCTCAAATCCTAATTTTCATTCGACCATCCACAAATCTTCAACCATATATGATTTTTCTTACTTCGTATGGTTTCTTCTTCCGAGAAGCCACCAGTGATTCTCAAAAGTCAGACAAAGATCAAAATGAAAACAAAAGCAAAAATTAGGGAAAAAATAATGAGGCCAAATTCAAAGACGAAGAAAAAGAGGGTATGCGAGCAAACCGAAACCAAAAAGAAATCATGGGTGTGGAAGCATTTTGAAGTGGTGCAAAAGCCACTGATGAGTAGAAACGAGGAGGGGGTAATGGGTCCAAGCTGGATTAACCAACCGAGCTCAATGCAAGTATTGTGATTCTGACTTAGCTTGTAATTCAACGAGAAATGAAACTAGCACACTTCAGAAGCATTTAGAACTGCATTGTGATGGTTATCTGGGTACTGCAAGAAATAGTGATTCTGATAAAAAACATATGAATCGATTGTCACAGACTGGACCCAAGAAAATTGCACTAAGGCAGCTGTTGAAATGATAATTATAGATGAATTGTCATTTAGTGCTATTGAGAAATCAGGGTTTAAATAATTTTGTTCAGTAGTAGTGCCAAAATGAAAGATTCCTTGTAGAAAAATAGTGGTGAAACATTTTCTGAGCATGTATAATACCAAAAAGATTATTTGAAAGATGAACTTAGGAATCATTGTATTAGTTTGACCACTGATACATGGACCTCAATTCAAAATATAATTACATGGTAACTAACCAAAAAAGAGTATTTGAAAGATGAACTTGGGAATCATTGTATTAGTTTCACCACTGATACATGGACCTCGATTCAAAATATAAATTACATGGTAATTACAGCACATTTCATTGATAGCAATTGACATATGCACAAGAGGGTGCTGAACTTCTGTGTGATTCCTAATCATCAAGGAATTACTATAAGGAGATTTTAGAAAAATGTTTGCATGATTGGTCTATCAAGAAGATTTTAACAATTTATGTTGATAATGCATCTGCAAATAAAGTGGCAAAAGATTATATGAGACGGAAACTAGGCAATGGGGAAAGACAACTGATTCTAGGGGAAAAGTTTCTTCATATGAGGTGCTTAGCTCATGTTGTCAATCTTATTGTCAAATATGGACATAAATGCATGGATAAATCAATTGTTTCTATTTGAAATGCCGTAAAATATATGAGGAGCTCACCTGCAAGGTTGGAAATATTTAAAGAATGTGTAAGAAAAGAAGAACTTCAGAGTAGAAATGTGTGTGTTTTGGATGTGCCAACTAGGTGGAATTCCACCTTTATTATGCTTGAAACTGTTATGCTTGAAACTGCTGTTGAACTTAGGCAAGCATTTGATAGATTGGCTGAAGAAGAGGACACTAAGTATAAAAGTTATTTTGATGAGGATGATGAGGAAAATGAGGAAGAATGAGATGATGTTCTACGGATTGAGTTTGAGAATGAACCTGATGAACCTATAGGGAACCAAGGGGTTTGAGATTATTAGAAAGAAGAAAGTTTAAGGAGTGAGAGGAAAGAAAGTGGGGCCTCCAACTGATGATGATTGGGAAAAAGTTGTTGCATTTGTCAAGTTTTTGAGAGTGGTTTTTGATGTTACTTTGAATGTTAGTGCTTCAAACAAACCTACTGCTCACAAAGCATTCCATGATATTGTTTCATTTAAATGTGAGATTGAAGAGATTTTTATGCACCAATAAAAAACCACAACACTGATTATGAGAAAATATTGTTCAACATGTCAGTCCAAATGAGGAGCAAATACAATAAGTACTTTGATTCACTATATGATGTGAATCAGCTCCTGATTGTTGCTTTGGTGTTAGACCCTAGGTTCAAGCTGGTTATTTCACTAGGGTTCTTGAGAGGATGCTGAATTATGATGCCTTTACTGTAAAAGTAAGAACAAAAAGGTTGAAAGAGTTGATTGTTACTCTCACTAACTTGTATGCTTCAATGAATGGTGTTCAAAATTCCAGCACAAAAAAGACAGATGGTGATGAAACTTGGAGTGGAAACAGGTACTAACTACTCATGTAAAACTTTTACTTTTCTGTTTTTATTTCATAGTTAATTAGTTCCTTCATCTTGTTTATAGTTTTATTTACTTTTATTATTTTATATTGTAGTGGTTCTTCAAATGAGCTGATAGGGAAGAAAGCAAAAATGATGGAAGATAGGAATAAAGACCTTGAAAATGTTGATGTTGTTGTAGATGCTCATGAGGTAGACAGATACCTACTTGGTCCCTTTGAAAAGCCAGGTCCAGGAGTTGATTTTAATATTTTGTCATGGAGTTGATTTTAATATTTTGTCATGGTGGAGGTTGTGGGAGGTAAGTATCATAATTTGCAAGCATTTGCTAAATATGTGCTAGCCATTCAAGTAGTATTGTTGCTTTGAGTCAAGTTTTAGCACTGGGAAAAGAGTTATTGACCCTTATAGGAGTTCATTAACTCTTAGATTAGTGGAAGCACTGATTTGCCTTAAAAGTTGGCTTAAGTCTGATACAATCACAACCCTTGCATATACTCCTACCCAAAATAAAATTGAATGGCTTGAAAAAACTGAACAACGGGATTTATATTTCACATGTGTAATTTGTGTAATCATTTGATTAGTGTCATTGATTATTTGACTTTTCCCCCCTTTCTTTTTTCTTTCTGTTTTGGCAGAATTGGACCAAGAGGAGAGAGAGCATGGAGAGAAGTTGGATAAACAAAAAGAAATGGAGTTGATTGAGAAGAAAAACAAAGCTGTAAAAGCCTCCAAAGGCTTTGATGCAGGAACTTTTTCCAAAAAGAAAATTTGAAATGTAATCTGTCATTTAACTTTTGAGTTTTGAATGTCAGCTTTAAACTTTAATTTGAAAGATTGAAATTGAAGTTTGAATATTGAACTATGTAACTGATATGTTTTGTTGTGGTTGACTATGTGGGTTATGATTGTGATTGTGGACTGGATTGCGGATTATGTCATTATGGATTATGGATTGTGGACTTTGACTTTGTAATTTGTATGTTGGATGTGATGAATGATGGGGTATTTTGTTCATGGATCATGATGATGTTTGTACTAAGCTTGTAAGTTGAATCATGGTTCTAATTTGTATTTTGTGTTGATATATTATAAGGCAGTGGTACATAATATAGTTATAGACTTGTTAATATTTCAATTTTCAGTTAGGGATGACATTATTTGTGTTGAATATGTTTTGAATCCTTATTACAAAGACCAGTTCCTACAACAAGAACTGGTTAATATCGGATTTCTCGTTGTATTCGGTTAATCAAAGAACTGGAAGAATCGGACCGAAATTAATTGGTCGGTTCGTTTCTTATTCGGTTCTTGATTAAAAAATAAATAAATAAATAAATAAAAAATAGAGTAACCGAACCAAAATTTTACATATTCGTCGGTTTTCGGTTCTTCCGAATTTGGATGATAACCGAACCGGTCCCACCCCTATAATTACATTTATCATATATTTATTTATTCACAACTTAAAANATTTTTTATTATTTTTTTTTTTTGCCAAAATAATTTATATTAATCCCATCCTATATAATTATATAATGAGGGTCTGGGGTCTTTGTATTTCATTTTCTTCACTACAGTGAATCATTGACAAAATCCTTCTCAATTTTGTTGCTATCACATTCAATTGGTTCATGTGGAAAGAAAATGTCTGAAACCGGCCTACGGCCTAATATGTAATATCAACCCTTTTTGCACCTTTAATACAATAATATCTCGCGTAGACAATCATTCTGAAAAACATAATCCAAAATGCATAATTTAGTCAATTATCTCTCTTTCAAATAATAAAAATATAATCAATATGCATAACAACAATAGACAACACAAAAATTAGAATCGACTGGAATCCTTTTCATTGCATTTAACTCATCTTTATCCAAATTGACGTGGAAGTAACAAGTTCATATCATGGCGCACAACAGCTCATGTGGGTTTGTTGGAGCAAAAGATAATTAGCAGATTTATAATTAGGCTTATTAAACAACCATGTTTTCTTAAAAAATAACTCACTTATATTATAAATTTTATTTTTCGTTTCTATTGTGTAATGAAGTATCGTATTGGAGTATAATATTAACTGACGTAGCGAAAACGTAAACGCAAGAGAAATTTGAGAGAAAACATCCGAATATATTTTTATTCAATCAAAATAAACCCCTTTCAATTAATAGAATAAGAGTCTTAAATAGATCTCCACAATCCTAATGAAATAACTTATCTATCAAGAAAATGACTAAGATAAGTATATTTCCTACAACTAACTATACTCTCTACCAAATCTTGAACTAATAATAACAAAATAAAAGGAACAAATTAACTAAACCAACGATGTCAAATAATCATGCTTAGGTAATTTATACAAACACATTCGGACATTAAATGCTTTTATAATAGATAGATCTAGCCTTTTGATATGAACTTCAAAAATGACATGTATAAGAATACTATCACTATTACGCAAATAACATAAATATTTTTTTTTTATTTTAGAGTATTACATTTTAATTTAATAGCATTACTCACCTTTGTATTTTCTTTATATTAGCCTTACTGAAATAAATAAACTTCACTTGAATCTTCATGCACAAGTACAAAAACTCTGCACAGGCTGAGGCTATTGGGAAAGATTTGCTCCAATTTCCCCATCTCTAATTTACTCCAAGTATCTCAAAACACATTAATCTTTCGATGCTTCTAGATTATAAATTTTTATTTATTTTTTGGTTCATTTTATTTATTAAAAGAATATTAATAATTAGAAAAATGAAACCTATGCCCTCTAAAGTCTGAACTTGTAGTCTGCTGTAGGACTCACCTCTGAGAGGGACCCGTTCAATTGATATCAATGTATGACCAATTTAATGCTACAAGTTGCAGGTGATGGGCCCATGGCCCATACAATTCCCTAATATCCTTTGGGCCGAATTCTGTTTGCCGTCTTGCTACTCTATGGCCCTCCACTTATGATATTTATTTATTTATTTATCATCAATATTATTATAGGGAAATGTTAATTCCCTCAATTCAATATAAGTCATTAGATCTTTTGGTTTTGATATGGACCCTTCGATGCAGTTAAGTAAAAGTGAAGTGACAGTTTTTTATTGGAGTTTTATATAGAAGAATGATTCAGTTTAGCATTTTTCATTATTATAAATCACATTACAATTATATTTAAATAATTTTGTACTAATTGAAGAAGAAAAGAAAGTATAAGAGTAGCAATTTAGGACATATTGTAATTTGCCAGTGTCCTATAATAAAGGTGTAAACGAGTCGAGTCGAGCTTGAACTCCTTATAATTAAATTCGGCTCGGCTCATATAACCTCAAGTATTAGGAGGTTGAGCTCGGTTCGACCTGTTTACACCTATATCCGAAGGTAACACTAACAAATTTCAATATCCCTAAGATTTGACACTAACAAACTACAAAATGTCGTAAACGGCCAGAATAATATGACACGGTAAAAAACACAATGTGAAAGACACGAAATAAAATATTTAGTTAAATTGGACTTATTATCATATTTATGGTCAAACTAAATAAGTAACACGAAAACGTAATAGTAAAACATAAACATGATAACACAATATGTAGTTACATGTCAATTGACTTTTCATTTTAGTAAAATCTCGAACGCTTTAATGTATAACATCACAAATACACTTTGTTATTATTATTATTATTATTATTATTATTATTATTATTATTATTATTATTATTATTATTATTATGTCTACTACAAAATTACTCTATTATTCCATTGCATCTTAAAAAATATACATTGTCCCAGAGACATTAATTTATGGCTTTTATCACAAACATTGTGGCCGTAGAGGCACCTACAAAGAAACGCGTTACAACTTATACATGTGTGTTTTTTTTCCTTATTATTACTTTATCAAACAAATATCTGTTTGATAATTAAACTAATGTCACAAACTATAATAAATTTGGTGTACTGTTATACAAAAAAAACAAAATAATCTTGTTCAAAAGTGTAATGAAAAAATGACTCCAACAAGAAACAGAGCGTTTATTAATGGACTAAAATCACAAGCAAAGCATCTCTAACAACCCAATCATTAGTCACAACTATTTTATCCTCCAATTTTGTTCTCTATAATTATATGACTTATTAAAAGTAGGTGGTTGGCATACAAGTCCTACGCATTAAGATTTCATATCTACTAATATACTCCCTCCTGTTTTTTTTATAAATATCATTCTGTGTAAAAATACAAGAATTAAAGATTTTTTTTTTTTGCCAGTTTTAGCCTTATTTAATGAGAATTAACATTAATTAATTATTTTTTTTAAGCTTGATTATGTTGTTTTAATGAAGAAAGGCTCTTCATCTTCTTCATATGGAGAGACATATGGAAAGATGGATGGGGACAAAAATGGAAAAATATAAATAAAAAAACTAAACGTCATTTATTAAACTAATTGTCAATAAAGTCAAAATGACATTTTATAAAAGACGGGAGGGAGTATCATTTTTTAGCTACATCAATCTCTCTAACTATTAAGCGAATCGATATATTTTTTTTAATAATAATACTTATATTATAAAAATTTATACTATTGAAAAATTGTCACTAACTAATCGTTAGACTTGCTTAACAATCATAGTTTTTTATATGGATTGGCCCAACGGGTTGATTCAGGAATGATTAACAATGGACCAGGTCAAACTAGGTTGACCCAACCTTGACTCCGTCGACCCGGAGCATTAAACTGTCGGGCCAGTTATCATATTTTATTTTATTTTGATGTTTTAAAATATTTTGTTATTTCAAAAATAATAATTATGTACATATTTTTGTGGTAGATTAAAAGATGGTAGCAAAAAATGTATTTAAGTTAAAACTTAAAAGAAATAGTGGACTTCTTAAAATTTATTTTGATTATAAAACTCTGGATTAGCTAGCCTAAAGGAACCTCATTATGTACCATTAAGCCCTGGTAACACATGTAGCTCGGTCACATTTTATTTATTCAGCAGTGAATATGAAATTAGAGGATTTCCAAAATAGATTAGTTTAAATAAGTGTGATTATAGATTTTTGGAAAATGAAAAAGAAAACAATACCAAAATGCCCAATTGATGGTTGTCATTATTTGTGCCATGTGGTCTCACATTCTTTTTCTCCACGTCTAACTAATCTTCTGTAAAACTCAGCCACCAACTACATCATTTCATTATACAAAAACAAACTCTTTTCATGTCCCATTTGTGCTTGGCTCAAAATAGGTGATTTTTTTTCTTATTCTAAGGAAATGTAGATAGTAAAGCCTTATCTTTTTATGACTTTTTANTTTTTTGTTAAGTATTCAAGTGGGTGGCTCTCGACTAACTTGTGATCACGACATTAGTCATTTGTCAACCACTTGAATAATTGATGAAAATCTATGTTATAGCACTTTAGCATGTGTAAGACCAAAACAATACTGAAATTGATAGATATAGATTATAACACTTTAGTGTGAGTAAGATATAAAAAAAAAAAATGATAGACATTGTTTTAATTGGCCTCTAGTTAATGTAATGGTTTAAATAGGTTTTTGTGTGACTCCTAGCTGGTTGAAAGTAGCTATAGTAATTACTGAATCTCATACAATATTTGTGTATCTTGAAAATTTTTCATACTTATAACGGAATAGAAAGTTCAATATATGCATGCAATATCATGTAACACAACAAATATTTATAAGGGAATAGAAAGTTCAATATATGCATGCAATATCATGTAACACAACAAATAATTAACATCATGAGAAGCATTGTTGTATGTAAGGGATCTAAAAGAGTCGATCTGAGCTCGAGCTTCTAATACTCTAGCTAAACGAGTCGACTAACGAAATTGAATTCGTTATCAATATAATTGAGTGAACTAAGTCTTAACGAGCCAAACTATAGAAAATTCCATCCAAATCTCTACTTTCAAGACTTAACAAGCTCAAACACATTAGAAAACGAGCTCGAGCAATTAGCAAGCGGAGCTGAACTTTATCGGGTCAAAGTGTCAAACTGCAAAGTGCTAGTACTTGAAATTGTCAAATAATTAAAATAGGCAATAATAAAAATTACAGACACTGATAAAATATAAAGACATTACCCATTAGCCCTTTCCACAATCCAAAATAAAATGATTGGGGTTAAAATCCTCGAAACAACTCGCTAATCCTCACGTTATTAACCATTTGGGAAAAAAAGAAATTATATTTAATTAATATCGAAAAATATACAGCTATACAGCGCCGCGTATGAGGACGACCGCACGCAATCACTCCCCTTACCGTCACTCTTCCTTTTTTCAAATTTGTTTTCTCAGCAGGCATAAAACTTGGCGAGCTCGCACGGCGAATCCGGCTGAGGATCGGCGTTTTCCAGCATCCACAGGAGGTGCTCGAACAGAACGACCTCGCAGCCGACGACGACCGCGCCGTCCTCGCCGCCGCCGCCGCCGCCGCCGCCGCCGGAGCGCCGATCGACGAGCTCACGGAAGAGCGGGCTGTCCACGACGTCGGCGGAGACGAGGTACCTCCGCCGCGACTTCCCGACGTAGACGGGGCACAGGTCCTTGGCGGCGGCAATCGATTCAAACGAGCCATCGGAGGAGGAGGAGCTCATGCGGCGGAGCTTGAATGATTGCATTTTCTTCAGCACGGACTTGATTTTGGTGAGCTTGCCTCCTATCGCCATTGTTGATGAAGGTTTTTGTTGCTGGTTTTTGAGGCGGTTTTTAGAGAGAGAAAGTGGAGAAGGCGTAGTTGTTGTGTGTGGGATTGGAATTTGGGAAATTGGGGAAGACGGTTGGGTATTTATAGGTGGGTTTGAGGGGAACAAAACTGGTACTGTCAGTTGCGGCGTAGAAGGGCTGGAAGGGAAGGGGCCCATTGGGCCAGGCCCAAAAGTTTGTGGTCTGGTAATGTCTGTTGCGACATAGAAGGGCTGGAAGGGAAGGGGCCCAGTGGGCCAGGCCCAAAAGTTTGTAATAATATTGTAGGAGGTAGGGGCCGGTGAGCAAAAACGAGCCGAAGTGATATATTCAGTGCGTTGCGGCGCGGTTCGGTTTTTTAAGATTGCGATTTGGTGCAGTTAAGATTTTAAAAAATCGAAAAAATTCAGTGCGGTTCAATATTATGATCGAATGGTGCGGTTTTAATCGAACCGCACCTAATAAAGTTTATGTTATATTATAGGTATATATATATAAAATATATAAACAAATTTTGTTTTGATTACATTTTTTTTAGCTATTACAATTTTTTTTTCTTTGTTACTTGTTGGTAACCGAACTTCGGTTTGATTTTTTCTCCATAACAGTGCGATTCGGTTTGCACTTTTGAAAATTTTCGGTTTTCGATTTTTTGTGATTCCGCACCGATGCTCACCTATAGTAGAAGGTAAAACCATGATCTCGACGCTCACCCCTAGTAGGAGGTAAAACCATCTCCAGCTCTGGCCCATACTCATATTTCTCTCTCTCTCTCTCGCTCTCTCTCTCTCTCTCTCTTTCTCTCTCTCTTTTGGTTTTTCTAAGCCATATATATTTACTAAACTCTGTGATTACATACTAGAAAACAGTTAAAAATAGTTGAATAAATCAGTCAACTAGGTTGAATCTAGGAAGAAGTTTATACACAAAATAGTCTAGAGCCGACAACACAAAACAACTACAGCTAAACAAAAAACTACCTAACACCCACACGAGAAAATCAAACACTCCAATAATGAAGAATTACGAACATGAATAAAACAAAAAAAACATATAGAACAAACACTAGAACACTAACTACAGTAGAATAATGTGTTTCCCGTCTCCCAAACAACTAGCAACTACGACCACCTCTTCACACCGAAAATCTGAACACAACTACCCGTGAGAGGCATGAATTTAATCATGACACCAAGATTTAAGAACTCCGAGCAACACAACTCAGAGGCCAAATAAATATGAGGATTGTCAGAGCCGCCACGTACTTCAGGCCCATCCCAGATTTCCAAACCTCCTTCGCCATTAGCTTTGTTTGGTTTCCAATGTTATCTTGTCTATTTCTTGTGATTTTCCGTTCACTGACTTAAACCCATTGTCGAATTGTATTCAACGTAATAGGGAGGTACTTATGGCAGAACGGGACAATCTGGTATTCACAAGAAAGTGATAGACGGAATTGCATGAAAAGACTTATTAGTAGATTTATAAATCACTCCAGAATGGCATATACATCATACATCATGGATCAAGTCGTAAATTTATGCATGAATTTATGGTTTTTTGAAGTAGTTTATGTATCTCTGAATTTTTATTCATGTCTACTATACTTTTTAAAAGAATTTAGAATACTTAATTAACCCAAGTTAATATTTCAACGTTGACCGGTTTGACAGGTCCACCTGCCAAAGTCAAATTTAGGCCGATTTGGGTAATTAGACCGCAATGCAATTGACCCGTAGTTGACTCAAGTGTTGACCCTATGGNTAGTATATATATATATATATATATAAATAGGATGTGGTTCAAATAAGAACCATGTTCTAGCGTGAGAACGGTGAGAACCGCTATTTTTAATTATATGTAGTGCTATGAATGATTATATTTTAGTGCTATTATTAATCAGGATGTATTTTTCTAAAAATAGCAACACAATTTATGTTACCATTTGTGAAAATGATAGCACCATGTAATATTAAAAATAGCATCAGACACAATTAAAAGTAGCATCAAATATGGTTCTCACGGTTCTCACACCAGGTTTAGTTATTTTTTAACCAACCCCTCTATATATATATATATATTGAACCAACCCCTATAATTTTATGATAAAAATTATTATATATGTCTGTAATAATAAAAAATAATATTATTAAGACTTTGAACTATAAATTTTATATTTAAATTATTTTTTTGGTGATATTAATAAGAAATAGGTACATGTAATAATTATTAAATTATTGTATAATCATGCAACTCTGCAAGTAACCAATCAGTTGAACCAGTAATCTGGTGATCAGAAATCGGTTCGGGTCACTGACCGAGTCGAATTTGTAAAATTGACTGAAATTATAAATATATTTCAAATCTTAATATTTTTTTATTTATCATCACATATATTTTATATTGAATTAATCATCCTTTTGCGATATTTGACACTCATATTATACATATAATATATATAATCGTTATTAAATAAATATTAAATTGTTTATCAATTCTAATTAGAAATAACATATTTGTTTAATTATGATTTATTTTTGTAGGAAGTATTTAAATTAATTTGTGATGTGAGCTACCTTTTTAGAAAAAAAAAATATAAAATTTGTACTTAGACTGGCTATTATCGAATATAAATGAGAGTAATGTCTTCCTAATACTTCACCCACATTATAAAATTTCAGTTCAATAGAGTAAGCCATTCAGTACATCAAAAATAATATATTTATATAATTTCAATATTTTCATATTCATCAATCAAGTATTTATTTATTGAATTACCGACAAGTTGTATATACATTCTTTTTGGGATATGATGCTAGCAAATGATGCCCACAACTACTTCCTAGACTTGGAGGTCAACAAAACAAAAACAATTGCTGAATATTATATAAATGAATAAAATAAATTGCATTGCAAAGTTAGGTAAAAAATTTAAGGCTGCAAACAAGTAAGAGAAGTTGGGCATACAATTGCAAGTTTGATTGTGCTCGAGCATTTCAAATTTGAACTCTAAATTAATGTTTTTTAATTGAATCAAGTCGAACTTGAGCAAAATTCAAGTCAATCTCAAGCTAAGCATTTGTGTTTTGATTTCAAACTGGAGCATGTGTCAGCAAAAATGAACATGACTCGATAAGGCTAATGCACGACTTAGGTCCTTTACTACTCCAATCTTAATAGCCAAAGTTTAATCATTCATTTACCAAATTAACTTTATAACTGATGTTAAACAATTATATTTTTCAATCATATTTTTATGCAAGACGACTTTATTGTTAGGTAATTTTATCGTCATACTCTGTAAAATATCATATTTATATTATTAATGTCGTATTGTTTATTGTAATATTTAAATCATGACATTTTCTAATTCTAATTAATAAAAAGTATGTATATGTGTGTAGAAATAGTACGATGGTTTTAATGGTTAAGTTGGTCTAACACAAAATCAACTCATTCTCATTTCAGAATACTTCTATATATATATTTATACTTATATAGTTGAAAATATACATAAATAAAATTAAAATAAGATATTTCGATAAATAAATATGCTAATACTTCGGATTTCGGTGCAGGGACCCATATCAAATATCATATGTGATGGCTTTCAAGTGGAAAAAAAAAAAATAAAGTGGATGGCCTTGTTTATATTCACATTAAACTGCAATAAAATAACAACAATATATATAATTATTCAGTTTGAGACTTTAGATTAATTGAACGAGCAATGTTGCTGAAAGCGACGGACATGTGCTAGCAAGTCTGCCTTTTTCTGGACCTAAATTATTTATATCTCTAACATCAATTTTCACACTTTATTTAATTACTAAGATTAGGAACCTTTTTCTCAAAATTAATTTAATTATACATGTAAGAACAAACATTTAACTACCGATTCTTGGTCACATTTGTTTAATTGGCGTTGAAATTAAGTAAAGTAGGAATATATCAACCACTGGCGTTATAAACTGATAAAAAATTGTATAAATATGTATTTAGTAATGAGAATTAATAATAAAGTAACATAGGTATTTTTTTAGTTCTGATTAGGGATTTTAGTCAGGCCAAGCCGAATCAAGTAGCTCATGTTCGAGTTATGTTTATGCTCATTTAAAACGCGTTGATTCGGCTCGACTTGATAAACGGAGTCAGCTCGTTTAATAAATAAGTGAAAGGCAAGTGAAAGGATCGGCTCGAGCTTTATTCGTTTATGTTCGGCTTAGTTCAAAACTCGTTCAGTAAAACTAAAATCTCAAACTAGTAGTTCGCGAACATGAAATGTCCGTTAGTGAATAAGTTCGACTCGCTTGTTCCATTTAATATCCATTTTTTTTATTAAAAAAAAAAGTTTTTCACAAACAAACTCGACTTAGCTCGTTTGAGAAATGAGCTCGAACAACTATTTGAACAATTAAACTTGGCTCGTTTAAGTGAACGAACGAGCGTACACGAAGCGAATCGAGTTGTTTTTCGCAAACAATTGAGTCCGAATAACGAGTATAATTATGATATTCTTATAAACACTCTTCATTTGGCCATCAGCTTTTGAGAAAATATATAATTTTGTTTCTAGGTTCTAGACTTTAAAATGCTAAATGAATAAGTCAAGGAAAAATTATAAAAAGACCTAACTTTATAGTAGCATGGGGTGGCCTGAGTATAGGGTTTGTTTTTTTCTTTTAGTTGGTAAACAGATATTTAATCAACTATTACAAATTTTAAATTTCAAAATTTTTATCAATCATAATAATATTTTTTATTTTTGCATAGTTTAGGGCTTATTATCTCCTTGAATAAATAGAAATTAAGATAATAATGAAAGGCCTGCCTTATTCGTGGTGTTCTTTTCCACTTTTTACATTTTTCTTGTAGTCTTTTTTCATATACGTACCAACAAAATAAATTAGTATATCCATTTTATCTCTTACAAACGTATTTGGCTCAGAGTTTATTTTTATTTTTTTTTTCTTTTTCCAGCCTA